CTGGTTTACAATTGCTTCTTCGCACTTTTCAGGTTAAGTGCCTCACCTCACTGGAATAACACCCGACGACGGTGCTAGAGTCATATTAACAAACCCTCGCTGGAGCCAACTACAAATGCGGGGTATCATCTCGGCGTGGAGGGGGCAGAAGAGTAGTGTGATGCCTGGCCTCTCCCTATCTCTCAGGGAGTCGTCATCCAAAAGAATGCGGTGGACACTAGCCAAAAATCTGGCAAAACGAGATTCCTACTTTCGTTACCAAAAGCAATTCAGAATCCATCCAATCCATCATAGCTGCGACTGGCGTGCTCCGCTTACAAATAGTGCTCCGTTTACAACAATCGCGGGCGGCTCGTCTTTGATAAAGCAGCCGTCCTTTGAGTTGGCCGTTTTCCTTCAAAAGTTCTTCATTAATATTTCAGAATGATAAAAGCTTCTGCGCCGCCTAAATACAACACTAAAGCACCGTCTTTGGCGAAGCTCATAAAAATAGTGATTTCCAGAAGTTTCCGTTTTGGCGCTTCGAAGTTTCTGGGAGTGCTAGTTCGCGCATTTTCACTTTTTGTTCAGAAATACTTGAGTTCGGAATATCAAATCAAAACACAATCAACTGTCGGAAATCTATGCGTTGAGTGATACCGGGTTGCTATGCAGTGCAGCATTTGATGCAATACAAAAATTCCCTGGCACCTTGCCAATTGTTTACTTTCTTGAAGAATGTGTGTAATTCTGACGGGATTTGTGGTGGCTGCTTTTTTTCCACCAGCAGACCTGCCACCTGTAAACCCATGCGCCTCATAGTCACGCGCTCTATAATTGTTACTCCATTGTAACAGTACCTTTTTAATTACAAATTCAATATTGATCTCAGCTGAATCTTCGTATTTTGACGAGTTTGAATTTCACTGTTATTTTTCTCTTTTTTTGGCGAGCTATGATGCACCACTATGTTACCGAATATATGTCCCAAAATACCTGTCGAACTTGCATGGTATTTGCTGCTTAATAATATTTTGTTGAGGTGCATGAAATGAGTCACAGGGCCCAACCACCAGTCTTCGCGCCCGTGAAATCGCCTCCTCCTGCCTACAACGCGAAACCTGTTACTCCACTAGCGGTCACATTTCGAGAGGTATCGCTTTTCCGTTCATTTAGGCTGCGTTCATACCGTGCGACGGCGTCGTCAACGTCGACGAAAGCGACGTAACCGACGTTTTCGACGACTAGTTCGCGAAGATTATATACGTATCGATCCGACGTAACGGACGAAACCGACGTAAGCGACGAAACCGACGTAAGCGACGTAACCGACGACAGAAGATTAGATACGTATCGACTGACGTCGAAAACGTCGGTTTCGTCCGTTACGTCGGATCGATACGTATATAATCTTCGCGAACTAGTCGTCGAAAACGTCGGTTACGTCGACGTTGACGACTACGTCGCACGGTATGAACGCAGCCTTACCAATTTACTGAACAAGTCTAATTAGTAGTTCCAAGTTAATGAGAATGTAAAACGGTCATTTAGACTGGTGGAGGTCCAACTCCTGAGGAGCAGTGCACAATCGAGCACATCCGATCGTTTCTAGGATCATCAGACTTTGATGAGGACCTTTGCTTAAAAGCTATACGGGTTAGTTCCTTCAACACACTAACAAATGTGCTCATTGAATCTAACATAATCATCTAGAAATGGAGTGCGCGGCGCGTTCCAGAGAGGATTTGACCGCAGAATATGACATAAACAAACATGTAACAAAAACATGTGATCATAACTTATTTTCTAGGGTATAAAGCGCATATTGTGATATTCGGGCACCTTCCCATTATACCG